TTTTTTTTGCTTTAAAAACTCCCGGCTCTTCTCAACTTATAGAGTTGTGTGTCTAGTAAGAAAGTAACATTATATTGTGTATTTCTCTTTGCAGATACGTTATCTGCCACTGAACTAAAAGTGTAAAATAAGTTGATTTATCAATCTTTGAATTAAACCTTGAAATTGACTAAAGAACAATTTAAATTGCCTAAGAACTGGCTATTGCGAGAAGGTAGCAATGCAGCATTTGTAGCAAAGAAAGGAATCCTAACGAATGTTTACGTTTGTTATTCGTGCTTGCCTGTAGCAGATGTTTAGACTCCTATAAGCGCAGAGAATATTATTAAGTAAATTGTATTTTTAAGAATACTCTTGTTAACTTCTGTCACCGTGAATCGAGATCTACCGTATAGCAAGATAGGACGATATAGTCCCTGTAGAGTAACCCTTGCCTAGGTCCGAGCCCGAGTCCTAGGTATGGGTGAAAAGGCCTTAGAGCACATAGAGGCTCGACATATCCTAACTCTTCTTCTTCTCCGTACAGAGCTTCTACATATCTTAAATGGTGATTCATACATATCACCATCTCGCCTCACGGTGACGGACGTCACAACTTGCGATAAAGTGCTTTGTAACGGACAAAGCTGAAATCCACAAAATCTGCGCTGCCTACAAACCCAAACATGGCAAGCATCAAGCGAAGACTAAATGCAAGAAAACATATTTCTTAGACTTAGGGTGAACACGGGCAAGTATTTGCTACAACAGCGTCGCTTACTTGGCAAGTACTAACCCAATAGTTGTCTCGAAATCCGGCAAGTAGTTATAAGAAGATGACTATATTTCATTAAGGAAACCCTTAGCTTCCATAACCAACAATCAGTAAGCAGATATCTCACTATCATTTTTCACCACCGTCACCAACGTATTCGGATTATAAACCCGATAAGTGTTGTCCGGCTCCATCTTCGGATTATCCGGATCAATACAGTAATCTGCCCATGACTGAATCTCCAACTGGTTCACTTGCGTTGTCGGGGCGTTGAGGGAAGCCAGACCAAGCAAGAAGCTAAGCTCGCTCACCTTGGTCACGTCAACCCAGCCTTTGGCAGATCGGGGGAGAAGACGCAAGCGCAACGATGTCTGTTCCGTGGTCTCGTCTTTCACTATCGCAGGCAGAACGTTGAAACGCAAGTTGGTGAGCATGTGAGCGCCGGGACCTGTGTAGTTCGACATCAGGAACTCGTCCGTATTATATGTAGCGTCGGCCGATGGCAGTGCGATTTGCAGATCCAGCTCAACCAGCCTGTACTGGTTGACGGGGTTTTGGTCCAGCACAATCGAGAAGATTAAATCCTGCGCCAGGTTTCCGCGCTCCAGCATAATTGCATCAAAATTCTTGGCATCGTTACTGCCGACACGGATGTTGTACTTTGGTGGCGACGCTACGCTGCGTACGTTGGGGAAGCTCGCAGAGTTTTGGGTGACATTCGAAGAAGCCTCGGAAAGGACTTTGAGAGTGCGAATATGTGGGGCAAGGTTTCTAGCAAGAGCCTTGGAAGTGGGAGTGTAGTCTTTATGACGTCGGAACGTCGCTGTTCCATCGTATTCGTCCGACTTGTCCCAAGGGGAGAGAGTGTCCTTACTCTCTGGTTCTTTGGCAAAATTGTTTACCAGCGCTGTCCCCAGCTGTTTTAGCGTCCTGATCTCAGAGCTACTGGCCCCAGGAGGCGTTAGACCGGCAACATCCTTGGACGACAGCTTTTCCTTGACGCAAATGGTTAGGTTGTAGATGGGGTCGTTCAGCTGCATGGAAAATAACGCCGACGTAGCAGTGTTGTCGTCGAAATACGGCTTTCCATCGTGAGATCCCATTCCTTCTCTCAAAGTCTGCAGCTGCAGGTCCGCGAATTGTGGAAGACGAAGTATCCGAAGATCACTCAGTCCTTTGCCTGGCTCGGAACCCCAAATGAAAATGTTCTTTGCATCATCAGGTCCAAGCTCTTTCAAGGCTTTATGCCTATCTTTGTCTGTTTCTCTGGTAGCCTGGTCCACTGTATACTGCCGCCGGATATCGACCTTGACCTCCGTAGCGTCAAGTCCCCGAGCTACGGCGAATCGCTGCTGATGTGCAGGTTGCGTGAAGACAAGACTGGCAAACTGAGCTGACCCAGGCACGCGGTCCATGAAGCCCATCATCACACCGTCCGTCACAATCTCATGGCGCAGTAGTGGAGCACCAGCAGGAGCCTCTTCTCCGGCCGCACTTAGCGCCGCATCATCTGGTAGAACCTCAACCCGTAAGTCAGGAAACATAGTAACCAGGTCCGAGCGTAGGTAGAAGCCATAAGTAGGTATTTGGACACGATGGTCGAGTTCTTCAGGCTTGTGGTTGATGTAATCGTTGAGCATGTGTTTGATGGCCACACGATCTTTGTCATCACCTGAATGGTTACCCAAGGATAATGCACCGTCAAGGAGAGCATCAATCCAGTTCCTATCGATGGAGAAAAAGCGCAAGGTTTCGGGCTCCAGATGAGTAGGGTCTGCTATTAAGCAGTGTGCAGGCACTCCTGCTAGAAACATACGGTCGACCAACCATGACTGCACTATCATCCAGTCTGTCGATTGTGGGTCATTTGTCTCATCATACAATGTGCCTGATGTGCTGCTTGCAAGGGAGCGTGCTGATTTCAACGCCTCGGCTGGATACTTGTCCGCGATATGTGGTGAAGAATATGAAAGATTAGGAATGGCACTGCGGCCGAGCTTCTGACGGAACCATCGCTTCCTTGGGCCGCCGGGGGAAAACGGTGGCTGGTCCACTTCGGGCGGTGTTGGGTCGTCGCCGTCATTTTTCTCGCCATCAGTATTTTTCCCATTGACATGGATGGCCGCAAGACTCTTCATCACGTCGGGGAGATCTTCAAGGAGCTCTTTCCTAGTGCGGAAACCAGACTCATTGATCTTTTTGATTGTCTGGAGCTTAGCAGCACCAACGGCAGATGTATGAATGGTATTCCTAAGGCGGACGAGTGCAGCAGTGAAAGCTTCGTCTCCGAGAGCCATGGTGCGACCAACATTCCAGGCGACCGAGTAAGTGAGATCCATGATACCCGTCTCTTTGTCGAGAATTTGTAGATCCACTCCCGAATTGGAACAGTTACTCAAGGCTTCTAGCGGTGGCACATACGTAGGCGTAAGGGGACCTCTGTACATTCCAACAGTTGCTTCGCCTGTTTGCGTTCGGTATTTGGTCAAAGTATAACCATCTTCGAGACGACTGACCACGCGCTTGGGTACGTCATCTTCCGATTTGCGCAGAGGTTCGATGATGCTTTCCGGAGCACGCAGCACGTTCAGCGTCTTGCCAAGATGCTCAAACGCGTCCGGCACATTCAGAGTGTTAGGCGGCAAGACGGTGTAGTTCCAACTATGCAGCGAACAGAGCGCCACATACTTTTGGCTGACAGGGATGGCCATGTCCTCCACACCCTCAATCGATACCAAGTGCACGCACATGGTTGTAGGTGTGGCACTGTCAAGCGGGCCTGATCGGTTGCCCACTACGACACTGAAGACAGCCGTGTCCTCGACCCCCGCAAGCGCCATTCCCGAGCCGTTAATCTTTCGTACGTGTGCCAGGTACTGATACTGAGTCGTGTTTGGCCCGCTGGTCTCATTTCTTTTGCCATTGTCGTCGAAAGTCGAGAACAGACTGGTGAACAGCTCCGATTTCACAAAAATAAAGTCGCCGCGGCTGTCCTTGATGTCCGGTCCCAAGTTGTCTGTAACAGGAGTCGTGACATCATTTGACAAGTTCCAAAGATCCTCGATGCTCATGTTCACCGTCATCGTGGAAGACTGCTTAACCCCGGTTTTGTGGAAAATCGATTCAAGATCCTCCGGCGGAACACGCAATTCGTCTTGGGAGAAGGAAAAAACCACAAGCCACGGCACGCGGTTGCGTACTGGTTCTGCCCCGAGCTTCATCTTCGCCTTCAGCTCGGCATTTGTCCCTGCCTTTGGACTTCCCAATCGCTCCCAAGGGAGGTGTGGATCTGTCAGCACTACATGCGGTAAAATTCGATGGTCGTCACTGTAGCCCGCCGGGGGATATGTCGAATGCACGCTCCCTTCTGGTAGTGAGAATTGCGGCGCGTCAACGAGGAAGTCCTGCTCCGCCTCGAGAGTTAACGTTTGATCCCCGCTCTTTATCGTCTGCGACACGTTGATTTGGTATTCTGGACCGGCTATCAATCCGGGTGCCCAGAAAGAGTTGAGCTTTTCCTGCCCTGGTGGAAGCGGGTCTATTTCATCTCCGCTATCGCTATCGTCGCCAGTAGACCCACGAAGGAGCCGGCGAGCTTCTCGTTGACGGGTAGCGACGATACGTCGGGAGTGTCGGAGTGTGAGATGGCGGGGTGAGTTAATGCGGGTGCTTTTACCTCCGGGGTAGATTGCCATGATGGAAGAAGAGTTGGTTGAATGAGGGTATCGAATAAGCGTTATTGACAGTACTTAATCTCAATCTAGCAGAGAAGATTTTCCCGTTAGTGTGTGGTCCTGTGGCGGGGAACAATAAATAAGAGTTCAGCTGGACCCCTTTTTAGTTCCGTTCAGCTCCTTCGTGTAACACTACAGCCTATTACTGCCCTTCGGAGAGGATCCACGATATACCGTATTACTTTGTAGTAAATCGACAAGAAAGCAGACCTGCCTCTAAGATTCTCGTCTAAAGCCTAGAGATTGATCAGTCTTGTGGTATTTTCTTTCAATTACAACATTTGGTATTTTCCCCGCGAGCGGGAATAGGCACTAGGCTATTAGCACTAGCCGAATCGGGCTTGGTATGCATTGCGACACTGATCACATGCAAATACACTACTGCGACTCCTACTGAAACTTCCGACCCGTCGCGTGCATGCAGAGACGATTATGCATAAGGCTATTGGCGTCGAGGCTAGCAGAAAAACCCGGAAGCGCCAAGGTCATTGCGTGTAATGCGGACATGCCTCCGTGAGAACGCGTAGACCCGCGCGTGTTATCTAACCAACCAACGTGGTAAGGACGAGAGGACAGGTTTCACGGTATGGCGTCTATCTCCACATGTACCGAGTACTTCAGCTTACCCCGCACTCGCGAAACCTCCACCAAGCATAGAATAGGAAGGTAACGCGGCACGGCCCGGACTGAACAATATTACTCCGCATCTGCATGCAATATTTAGTGCAACAACATCAACAGCATCTATCGAAAACACCATTCCGTTTGCCGATCAATGGGATCCTCATGTCACTATTGCAGAATTTGGGAAGACAAGACGATAACTCCCCATGCATCTAACAGTTAGCAGTGAGTCGTGACTATTTTGTATCAACTGCAAAGCACGTACAGCAATTCACAGCATTCGGATGTCTCGTCATTATCGCACAGAAATATCAGATGAAAGGATGCAACGAAAAATCTGTGAGACAAATAGACTGCGCAAGCAAGCATGCGGGGACCCGAAATCAATAAACAGGTTTTGAATGTTTGCTCATAAATTACAAAGAGATACTAACGAACTCAGCGGAAGCGAAGCTCGTCGTGAGGGATTTCAAAGACTTTCTACTCTTACCTTTTCCACAAGTCCTCGAGCGACTCCACGTTTCACTTCAACTTTGTACGAGCCAGCTTCACTATGGCCGCACTCGCAGCTGTCTACAACGGACAAACCAGCGGTGACTGGAGTATCAATCTATTCTACAACAACAGTATCGGCCAACTCGCATTCTTGCTCAAATCTGGCACCGAGGTGGCAGACCCTGGTTTTTCCGCCTGGGATTCTGGCGACAATGACTACCAAGGCTACATCCTGAACCCGTCCACAATGGCCGCAGGCACCTTCTCCGGCGTAAACTTCATCGTTGCCGTGACTAAGCCATCCAGTAAAAGTGAAACTCAGACCGCCAACCAAATTTCCATAGTCTCACCTGTTTACCAGAAGCTGGATACCACTTCGCTAGGAAACAACACCGTCACCGTATGCACTGGTGGGACAGAATGCTGGGTGTACTATCTGCAGTAAGTTTGAGATCGAGAAATCGGTGATCACGTTCTACTTTACTAATCATCACAGCAATGCTTCAAACAGCACAGTCTCCTTGAAGCAGTACGAACTTGTTACCGGCGATATCAGTACAGTTCTCGAGGATGGAGTCATGAGTGCCAATTCGCAGCTGGCTTCTTGGTGGGTGTCAGACACTGAGCGCTATGTCATCTTCCAAGACAAGGAAACTCTGCTCCTGAAGGAGTTTAATGTTGCTACCGGGAAGAGTAAGTTTTAGCAAAGTTTCTGGCTCTTAAGGGTTTTAGTATTCGAAGCTAACACGTAATAGGCGTCGATATCGAAGCAACAAAAGATGCCAAGGAGGGAACAACTCTAGCCGTCTCGTTTGTAAATAGAGTATTCCTCTACTACACTGACAAACAATCCAATCTCCGACGAGTCCTCAAGGAGAACGACTCCTGGGGCGAGTCCAAAGACATAGCGGATATCCCTAAGGTTGGCTCGAGCCAAATCACTGCTGTGGCAGCCAATAATTACAATCACTTGTTCTACATGGCGCAGCAAAACACCAAGGACGAATTCACCCACGTCAAGGATTTGCTTTACGGTTGAGTAAGAGCGATGGGCCATGATGCATTTGGAATTAGTGTTTTCAATCTTCCAATCTGTACTTGCGTAATTTGGATTATTTTCATATGTCTTGACGTTTAAACGCTATGAGTCCTTGAATTTGATCGCTTTGGCTTGTTACGGCCTTACAATGAATCAAAATTTATTCAGAGGTCCACAATTCTAGTTCATCTAATGGACCATCGCCATTTTTAGACTTCACCAATCTTAACAGATAACTGGTAGGTCTATGCAGGAATGTTTCGACATTTAAATAAAAAAACATGAACACAACTGGTAGATTTAACCAAGCTATTTAATATAGATACCTTGCAGGAATATTTCCGTTGGAATCTTGTATTGTTTAATTTCCTAGAGCAATTTGCAGCAGTGGCTATACTCCTTATACAATAAGTCTACTAAGGCCTGAAATTCGCTATATCAATTATAATTTACGCAAATATTGAATTCCAAGAATACACAGCTTTTGCTTAATCACAAACAATCATAGGCCGTAATGTTATAAACCACGAAAAAACTACCAAGAAATGAAACTTCGCTTTCAATCCAACCTACCTAACCATCATTTATCATCCCTTGGCATCATTATCGGGTTCCTCAGCTGCAAAAACCCTTCCAATGCGGTGTAGGGTCCTTTTTGAAACCCTGGCTTGGTCAAATTCCCTCTCTTCTGAATACCAAACGGATTGAACACAGGTTGAGGCGTATCATTTCCATCCCCTGTTACACCCTCTCCTTCAGCATAAGGCTGGAACCAGCTCCAATCTCCAGGCCCAAGAGACGGCAGTGGTAAGTCGCGTTTCGGCATGTCTCTGGCATTCTTACTAGTCAGGATTTGCGAGGAGTCGTAATCCGGGACGTCATTGATCGGCAACGACAGCGGTCCCGCGTGGAAGAAGGCCGTCATGGTGTTCATAGCGCTTTGCCAGGTCCAAGGTGGCAAAGATAACTCAACAGATGGCAGTATCGATGAGTATGCATGCACAGGAGTGAATGGGTCGATGATGGCGCCAAAGACCGAAAAGCGAGCGTTACGCCTGTCTTCGAAATTTGCCGGGTCGCTTGACTGCGCTGGGAACGGATCCTCCCAGAAGGGCGTAAACCGGGGGTAGTTTTCCGTGTTTAGCGATTCCAACGGCGCAGAAGTATCCTTCTCCGATACGAAAAAGGTCTTGACGTAGTCGAGATTGAGCTCGTCCGACTGTGGAGTTTTGGTGTCAAAGTAGCCCACCAACCCGTCGTACTCGGCATCGCGGTCGCCTAACCGCACTTGAAATTCGTAGAAAGGTGTTTCATCATCCTCGTGCGTTAGACGACACTCTGGTTTCTCCACATTGCTCTTTGTGCTTTGATTTTCGAGCGGCGGTCCATCAAGCTCAAGTGACCAACCCATATTCACCAGTGCCAGCGGCTTGCCGACAACAGAGTTGAGGAACTGTGCATATGCACTTGGAGCTGCAGATAGATTTGCCTGCGCAGTAGTAATCATGTTCCAAAACCCTTGGATGTAGTCCTTGTCGGCCAGCTTAGCCGCCAGTGCATCCAGTTGTCGTGTCTCTGGCGTCGGGTCCTCTTGACTGGGTGCGAATGGTAGCCACTCAGGTGAATCCAGCGTACTCTTCGGCCCACCAAAGCGTACCTCACGGTAGAATGTGCCGTCAGCCAAGAACAGTTGGATGCCATAATCGGCATAGTTGGTGATCATCCAGCCCCAGATCGGTGACTCCCACTCCGTCGCAGGTCGCCATTTGGCCAAATGATCGCCAGCTTGTGTATCTTTGTCGTCAGCGATCCGCTTGACAAACTCCGCGTTCAAGCGGGCGTTCTGGTTAATCTGTGGCGGCAGCTGCAGAAATTCGCATTGTTTGGCTTCGTCCTTTATCACGGTGTTGGCATGGTCTTGTCCGTCTACTGTGATTTTCTGGGGCTCGTAATAGTCACTGATGCAGGGGTAAAGAGGCGGTAGTCCCTCTATCCGCGGCTTCTGATCAATGGCCATCAGGGCCTGTCCGAACTTGTCAATGATATTGAATTTGCGGAACCTGTTATGGTCAGTCTCGTCTTTAATCCATAATGGAAAGGACATGTACCTAAACTGGCCGTGTGTTGCTGGTTTGAATGGGCAATATTCGTCACCCTCAAAATTTGTCAGTGCAGCATAAGGCGTCAAGGCTGAGTTTCCGTCAATCATTTCAATACTCTCCTTTGTCAGTCCGACGGACTCAAACACTGCCGCTTCAATGGCCGAACTCTTCGTACCATCAGCTCCGACCGTCTTGTTCTCAGGCTTAATGTGGCTACCCTGTGCCTGTGTCACCAGCCCGTTGGTGAGCCCATATAGCGGTGACGACAGATACGATAGCTTCTTGACGTTACTCAACAGATCTTGCCGATCAGCTTCAGGTAAGTATTTGTCCAAGATGTCCGGCGGAGTATTCTGGAACAATTGAACCAACTTAGCCTCTAAAGAGAAAGTGGGCTGAGGCAAAATAAGTACTCGTCCAGATAGGACGCGAGTATCTGGTCCTTTTTTGTTTTCCTTCAAGGCGTCCCATAGCGGCGGTGATTGTTCTTGGCCATCCTTTGGAGGCACGGAGATGCCGTAGCGGACGGATTCGTTGGCTGAAAGGCGGGCAGTGTGCTCGTCCAGTTTCCAATAATCAAAAGGAATATGCGTATATTCGACCTCCCACTCTGCATACAAAGGAAACCATGGTTGTCGATCTCCCCATTGGTCGCGCCACCGCTCGTCGGTTGTCAGTTTATCGTGGAACTGCGGGTAGAATTTGCCCTTAGGCTCACCAGGATTACCGCCACCAGGTCGAAGGAGGTAAAATTCGGTCACCAAATCCTTTGATGGTCCTTGAAACACTTCCGGTAGCTTTTTGAGTTGCTCAAGGACATCCTTTAGAGTGTTTGGTAAATCGGAGGATCCATTTTCAGGTGCAATGACCTGGAATGGCGCGCGTACCGACACCTTGTCTAGGTAGTCCAATGGCCAGCCCGACTCAATGCCTCCAATTAATACAGTGGGGTCATTTGCACGGTTGAATACTGGCATGCTAGCCGGCTTGGCGGTTGCTAGAAGTGTATCCTGCAGTAGTTCTTCGATTTTCTTCTGCAGCTGCTGGATGCGGTCCTGTATGCTCTTGATTTGCTGCGACAGGTTGTCCACCTGCTCCTTGAACTCATCACTTTGTGCTTGTTCATTGCTGCTGTTTCCAACATCACTGACGTACTTCCACCAGAGGGAGAACATGTCCCAGCGATAATGCAGTATCGCCATGTTGCCGGCATCGAGCAGTTTCTGTGTTTGGTTTAGTTGGCGCAGTTTGGAAATAGCCTCTTTCTCAGGCACTAGCGGCTTCTTGTCGTCTCCATCTTGGCCTGAAAAGTAGTAGCGAGATCCTCCCGGCGAGCGCGAGAAAGACCAGTTGTAGATGGCATCTTTTGCCTCGCGCTGGGCCTCTACGCCGTCATCGCGAGCGTGAAGCAGCGATTCCAGGGCCAAAATATCTTCCTCCAACTTTGCAATATTTGTTGAATCATCTGTGTTCTCCTGACGGGCAGTGCAGTACGAGATCATGGCGTCCATGGGCGTAGTGCCGATCGACACGGCTGCAAGCTCCGGGTCGCTCATGCGAGCACTGAACTTGTCGGCCGGCACGTCTTTTGGTTTGTTTTCGTGATCCCAAGTGACGTCATACATGGCACCATGGCAAAGGATGCGCAGCTGGTCCGTGTTGCTCATCCAGCTGTCACTGTCATCGACGCCCTTCATCGTCAAAAACAGCTCCTCTAGGCTTTCGCCATGCGCAAAGTTCTTGCCCGAGTTCCATAAAGGATCAACGTCCTCCTTCCGGTGCCAACCCAGCACGTAGTAGCTAGCTTTTGCGTAGCTCAGGTATTTCGGATCGTCCTTGGTGCCATATTGAAAATTATCCAGCACACTAAAGACGTTGGAGTTGTGCATCTGGAAGTCTGCAAAGAGCTGATTGCCGCTTCGCAGCAAGCTGATGTCAGGCGGCTCTTTACCCTCGTCCTCGCCGCTCCATTCTGCCAGTGGAGTTTTGCGTCCGATGAATACTTCCGCCTGCTCGTCAATTTTAATATCAGAGCCCTGGTGCCCCAGCACAAACGGAGCCAGATCGGTCTGCAAGTCCATATCCGTCGGAATATCATCTAGCAGCCACAGGTGATCGCTCTCGACCACCCAGGCTTCGTACTCGCGATCTTTAAAGTCGTTCCTAGCATCTTCTGGCTGAACGCTGTCGACTTCCAACTTCCGAAGAACAATCCATCGAGTCGGTGGTTGCAAAAAGTCAGGTGTGTCGTTACCGCCCTCGCCAGTAGACAAGGCGTCTAGCCCGCGTCGTAGTCGATCATTCCGGCGGCGTTCCGGGGACACCGACTCACTAGAAGAGATGCCAGAGCGGTAGAAACGCGGCAGCGTCCAGTGGATATAAACACCGTGGCGATGGCGTAGCGGCTTGGGTTCACCAAGGGCTCCCAGGTCGGTCATGCGTGAATTGGTTGAAGCCGGAGCGGTATTGTGCAAGTCCGTGTGATTCTGCACATCGCTCTGTAGTAGGAAGTTATCAAGACGCAAAAAAGTGTAGTTGGGCTGCGTGATGGGCGAGATACGGGCAGTCGTGTCTGTTTCCTCGCCCGTACCGCAGACGGCTGGGTTAAGCACAAAAGCCTCCAGCTGCATAGGCACCAGAGCGGTGTCGAAGTCCGGAAATTCCGAGGCCATTTTCGCTAGTTGAGAGAGTCAAACTTGCAAATCCTTTGAGACAGGCTGGACATTCTCCTCTGGTATAAGAAGAGTGAGTGAATATTTCGAAACTCTAGTGGTAACAATAATTAAAAACGGATTGTGAGTTTCCTTGGTTGCATTCTACCCCGCATACACTGATCCCGATGCGCGCATCACAGCATCGCTATCCTCTATCCCCCGCGAAGTACCTCGTACATCAATAATGCAAGACTGGGCTGCAAGATCGCCGATGCATCCGCTGCAAGCTGGAAGAAATCCCTCGGGGGCATGCTCTTTGCAACATCAAAAACTTGTTTTTGAAAGAAAAGATGAGCTATCGCTGCCCAAGTGCACGTTCAGCTCTTCACATGTCTGTATACCCCGCTTTTTCTTGTATGCCACACATACTCTAGAGTCTAGACACTGTGGAACTGATCATGGTGCTAGGTGTGACAAAAAGCTGTGTTTATAAATGTACTGCGTTACACAACATGATTCAATATTGGTGCTTCCGGCAGATCACCGCATACTGCATACGCGGCTTCGGGAAAGTTAAGAAAATTAGAACCACGTAGCGCAAAGGGTTAGAGGGGAAAGTCGAAAATGTTACCAAACTCTTGCTGCCTTCCAGTGCTCTACCCCCAGCTATTCGAGAAGAACACAGCAAAACTTTGAACTGGGAAAACTAATTGGTATTCACGCCTTCAAAATCCTATAGCTACACTTGTGCTAACGACGGGCAGAGATGACTATCTAACTTATCAAAGCTCAAGTTTAACCATCCTGTATCAGTTTGAGCCGATGGAATCCTAAAGGCGAGCAAAGTCAGTCAACTTGCAGAGACTCGAGCTCCAGTCCAAAAACAAAAGGTCCACTCTGACCACGAAAACCCCTCATTTACAAAGTCCATTTTGGAGTAAACATCAAGTAACAAACTACCGTGGAAATGTCTTCAAAGCCGCCCATACATTCCACCAAACAAAAAATCTTGCGAGCGGATCAGAATGGAAAACCTTACTACATCTATGCCAGTTCTTCTGGCCAGGAGGAGAAACCTGATGAGAATATCCATGTTCTCAATCCTGACTCGGATAGCACTACGGACACATTTGTTGCATCCTTGGAAACCAAAGTTATCGTTCTGTCCGAGAAGCCGGACTCACCAAACATGACGGCTACCTTGGATGATTCCGATGAGATAGGCAAATGGCTTCAAGAGCTCGACCCGGATGCCACTGGCTCCGTGACTCTTGACATGTCCTGCCAAAGCATTGAAAGTTTCTCAATTGCTTTCAATAAACCATGGCCATTGACATTCAGCTCATCTAGTGAAGCATTGCTGTTCACCTTTGGTGCACCGCCGGAGCTGGTTGGTGGCGATACGAGTGGAAGGATTCCGCCGCCTGGCATTGACGAGTCAGGGGAAATGTTGACGTTCGGTCTTGACCCTTCCAAAATCAATGATGTCGACATAAAGCTCAAGGATCTATTCACATACGCTGGCCTGGATGGCACGCTCAAGTCTCTGCCAGACGACTTTCCAGACCTGATAGTTACGCTCACGGCACCCAATCAAAACGATTCACCAAAGAGGAATGCTGTTTGGATTGTGCCCTGTTCCAACATGCAAACCACCATCCGCCTACAGCTCCCGATGCCTACTTTCACGCCTCTTCAAGACTTGCTTCTCGGTGCTCTCAAGGGTTTTACACTCAAAAGCACAGATGTTGTCTGCAAGAAGCGGGCATCGCAAGCAACACCCGAAGATGACCAGCCTAAGGATAAGGATGATAAACCCGAGGACGGAGATGATGAGCCTAAGGACAAGGGCGAAGTCATTTTCAACGTGGAGTGCTCTGTCAAGGCAGAAAGCAAAGAGGCGCCAGTTGTATCCATGACCGCCAGCGTCGAATTTGTTCCCTCTGGCATCAACCTCATTTTCATGTTTGACTCGGAGGACCAACTCTCTGGCATCTTAAAGTGGCTTGCTGGACTTATTGATGACAAAAACATCGAGTCTCTTGTCAACGACATACTGGACAAAGAGAAGAATGATGTCAAGTTGCCATCAGATCCCACTCTGCGGAGAATGACTATCAGTCTCGAAAATTCGAAGGATCCAAAGTTGGCATCATTTGCCTTTGATATCGAAGAATCGGTTCTTTTTGATGAGGCCAGTTCCAAACCCGTGGTATTCCTCATTTCGTACAATTGGACTAGCACCGAGGGCGGGTCTGGCACTCTAACGGGCAAGTTATGGAATGGTACGTTACTGCCAAAATGCCTTTTTGTTTTGTGCTAATACTAAGCCAACCAAATTAAGACTTTGATGACCCCACTGACCAGGATCTGTCGCCATCTTTCGAGACCTGGAACACCTTGCAGCCTTTGGAGCAATCTCCGGTCGAGTCAATTACCCTCGCATCGATAATCCCATCTCAAACAGTCACAAACATCCCTGATACACTACCCTCAGAAATCAAAAACGCCCAAATTGAGCTCTCCCAGGATATATTCACCATCAAGTGCACTGTCGATGCCAACCCCATTACTCCGGGCTCTGTCCCCCAGCCTTATCTGGACAAGGTTGGTTTGGATGGGTCTTTCTCTTGGGGTGAAAGCGACTCTTTCACCTTGAAGGTCGACATTAGCGCTGGAATCCAGCCGAGCGAGGGCTCCGACCTTCCCACTGCCCTCCTTACCGGATCGCTCAACTACGACTCTTCCAAAGGAACGTGGGGTCTTAAGGCCTCTATCGAGGACCTATACGGCTCGACACTGGCCGAGTTTTTCGATGCCAATGCCAAAAGCCACGTTGAGCCTTTGATTAGGCAAATTGCCGTCAAAGAGGCGACTGTCGAGTACGAATACACAGCGGAAGATGGAGAATCAAAGGCCAGCAAGTTTGCACTCAAGGGAGATCTTGTCATTGCGAAATTCACACTGGGGCTCGATTTTACGTACGATGATACTGGTTTTACATTCACAGCCACCTTGAACCCGGAAAGCAAAGAAGTCACCGTCGGTGAAGTAATTGCGGACATTCTCAATCCTGGCGGCCAAATCGACCTGCCCTACTTTGCCTCCAACACGAAGCTCGTTGGTGATGATAAAGATGCCTTCAAGATTGATATCAAGAAGGTCGAGGACGAAGACGACAAGGGCGACAACAATAATGGCGATGACGAGAAGAACAACGGTGAAAAAGTCAAGAACGAGAAAAGCGGTGATGAAGAAGATTCGGTGGTATCCTCTTTCCAATTCCTCGCACAGCTCAACTTCGGCAAGCTGCACCTTGAGTTTGCGCAGCTACACAGCAGTGACTGGGAACCCACTGCACCATCCAAGCGGCTGATTAAAGTTTCCATCGATGCCTTCCCCGAAATTGAATTCAGCATCCCACTGATCGGTCAGTTGAAGCAGCCGCTGGACGAACTCTACTTCCTCTGGGTGCAAGATCCACCACAGAAAGCTCAAGCTGGGAATAATTCGGGCCTCACACGCTCCGATGTTACCCAATTGAACGGCGGTCTCGGAAGTCCGATTATGTTCAAAGATAAGATCAAAGATCCCAAACAGAAAGACTTATTGTTGGCGGCCGGTTGCCACTTCACTGTTGTTGTTCACAGTACCACAGGCGAGCGATTGTGCTTGCTAGACTACGAGTTCACGAAACAAAAGGACTCGGCCGTCAATGCCGTGACTTGGCCTACAGGCAAGGACGACAGAAAACTGAAGGAGGGTGATGAGGATGATGGCGGACCAAGCGCACAGGCACCATACAAAAAGGTGGCTGGCCCACTTTCCATCAGCAACGTCGGGCTCAAATACAAGGGGAAGAAGCTGGCCATTATGTTTGACGCCACGTTCGATATGGGCCCTGTTAGCTTCTCACTGGTCGGGTTCAGCCTCTCAGCCGAATTCGAAACGCTCGACAAGCCTCCTGACATCCAGGCCAACATCGAAGGGTTGGCTGCGGCCTTTGATAAGCCGCCTTTAACGATTTCTGGCACTATCCGCCATGTCAGCAGCGGAGAAATGGATTACTTCGCAGGTGGTCTTATCGTCGGCTGGGTTCCGTACGAGTTCCGGGCCGCAGGCTTCTACGGTATGGTAAAACCAAAGACCGATGACCCATTCCGGTCTATCTTTGTGTTTGCCAAATTGGACGGGCCCCTAATCACGTTCGAGTTCGCCGAGGTCACAGGCATCTGCGGGGGCTTCGGTTACAATACCAGTGTGCGAGTGCCCACACCTGACGAGATCCACGAGTTCCCTTTCATTGCCAACGGAGACCTAAGTGACCAGGAGAATGCGCTCGACGTTCTGATGAAGCTGGTAGACCCAGGACCGCAGGGTTGGTTCCAACCACTGGACAAGACGTACTGGGCCGCCGTGGGCATGAAGGTCGATGCTTTCCAAATGCTTAGCATCGACGCCGTGCTGGTCGTACAGTTTGGAGATTCAATCAAGGTGGGTATCTTTGCCGTGGCTGCGGCCGACATCCCGAAATCCGAGGGGGTCAGGTTTGCGCACGTCGAGCTTGGGGTCTCGGCCATCGCCGACCTTACCTACGGCACCCTAAAGATCGAGTCACAGCTCTCCCCAAGCTCATTCATCTTCACTCAAGACTGCCATCTCACTGGAGGCTCCGCCTTGTACTATTGGTTCGATGCGCCCCATGCCGACCAATCCAAAGTTGGAAGCTTCGTGTATACGCTCGGTGGCTATCACCAGGCGTACGATGTGCCCGTAGGATATCCCAATCCGCCTCGATTGGGCATCAGCTGGGATCTGGGCGGTGGCCTCAGCATCTCAGGCCAGGCCTACTTCGCTATCACGCCAAAAGCCTGCATGGCCGGAGGTCATCTCCATGCCTCTTTCCACGCTGGACCCATCGAGGCGTGGTTCGACGCCTTTGCTGATCTCCTCATCAACTACAAGCCCTTCCACTTCAACGCTCAAGCCGGGCTTGCTGTTGGTGTGCGCTTCCACATCGACATCTGGTTCATTCACACCAGCATTTCGGCTGAGATTGGCGCTCAGCTGTACCTTTGGGGCCCACCACTGGCTGGCCGCGTACATGTCGACTTCTGGATCACCTCTTTCGACATCGACTTTGGCAGCTCCGAGAGAGGCATCAGTCCAGTCAGTCTGGAGGAGTTTTATCAGCTCGTGCTGCAATCATCATCCGCTTCTGTGGCATCAGCGAGCAGACCTCTGCTTACTGAAGCGGAGGAGGGAGAGAAACATGAAGTGTCAAGCCCGTCGCCGCGAAAGAACGAAGGGCACAACTTCCTCCCTCAATCCGGGTTAATGAATCCAGATGCCAAGCCGGAGAGGGAACAGAATGAGAACTGGATAGTGCGCGCTGGTACATTCTCTTTCATCATCGCGTGCAAGATGGCCATCGACACTTTCCAGGCCGGTCCCGATCATCATGTTGTCTTCAATGGCCCCAGTGTCTATAGCAAGCCGATGCAGCTTACGAGCAGCATGAGCTCGACACTCAATGTGAAAATGACGAAGACCCTGGAAGGTAAAGTAGAAGATGCAGATGAAGATTGGCAATATTCGAAGCACTTAAAGAGCATGCCAAAAGGATTATGGGCTGAATGTAAGTCATCCACATTTTTCCTCCACAACAAACTGACACTGTCTCAAGACGACCGGAAATACGACCCACAAGTTGGAGGGAATAACATCAAAGACCTTCTCAACAGCTCCGATGCTTCTATTCCCCTGTTGATGGGCGTGGAGGTCAAAGCCCCCAAACCACAAATGTCCCAAGACCCTTTCCCGGCCTTCATCGTCGCCGACGCCGACTTGCAGTCTCTTACTGCAGAGAAGCCTTTCCCCGACATTCAACCTGTAAACTCTGCTTGGGCTCCCGCCAAACCCTTAGAGGTCGAGAAGCAGTACGATGAGGTGTTGAAATACTGGCGTTCGCCTAATGGTGGGACTGATGCGCAGAATAGTTTCGTGGATAGTTTGGCCAGGAGTTACGGGTGGGATGAAAACGACAAAATGAAGGACATCGCGGGGATTCCGGACAGACTGAGCAAGGGTTTCATGGACACATATGTAGCTGCACCGATGGTGACGGTAGCAGTTTGAACAAGTGGTGTTGAATAAGTTCTGGAAGACTCCACGGCCGATAGGAAGGAAGTGATGCAGATGCCTGAAGCGCATAGTATGCAGCTTTTTTGTTGTTCTGTCAGTAATGTCGGTATGTCCAGGAAGATTTGGTTGCTCAACTTTAACTCATTACTTTGCTACGTGCATACCAACCCGATGTTACTACGGTTAGAATTTACCCATACTTCTTCGTAAGTTATGTCTACCAGCAAAGATCTATGTTTATCGAGTATCGACAGGATAATCTTTAGGAAGTATTTTCAATTTTTTGGAGAATACCATCGAGACTATGAGTCACACACTAGCATCTAACTCGGAGGACCTTATTTAAATTAAAGCCTACTACGCTTACATGGATGGATTATTGCCCAAGTCCTAAAGATAAGTGAATAAAATTCGGATTACCGACTTAATAGAATTGTAGTAAGTCTACCCGGAGAAGCAATATTAATATCACTATAACCTGGGGTATAGAAACTATAGTCAGGTTCTCTTCGTATACCCCGCATTGCATAAAAACTAAGTATACTAAGAATGAGAATATATCCGAGACTATTTATTCTTTTAGGTGATACAGTAAGACTACCCCTGGTGCGATAAGCCGACCCCACACGATCAGCAACCACAAAACTATTTGTGGCTTAAAGCTTACTTCTTTAACCACATAATACTGGGGTAAGCTTATGAAGGAGGAATTTTCTTTTTTGCTAAGCCTTGCAACGTCTAAGTAAACCTGTGACGGAGGTAGCTTATGATTATTCGCTGTCACGTCGCCGAAGGATTCCAAAAAGAAGATTTACTCAGGGATGTTTTAAGCGTGATAGGCTAATCGCCTAATGTATACGCGCTACGGGATTATCAACGAACATTCAACCGGAAGGCAGTCTAGTACATGTTGTAGATTTCGAAAGGACCATTGGTGCACATGTTTCTACCTTGCAACTTAGACATATATACCAAGTTAGGTGTAGCGCTCTACATAGCCTCTCTGCCACACGCTTCATGCATCCTTCTCACGTTAATATCTAATTCACTTTACCAATTTTGTCCTCAGTTTTCTATCATGATGGCAGCCTAGTATACTTTTAGGTCTTAAAGTGTCTGTATCTAGGATTGTTCCTCCGGCTGCTGCGAGGAGATCGGAGTTAGTTACCCTAAGAGGAAGGACAATTTTGAGCATTCTCCCAAGACAGTCTTTCGAAAAGCCAACAGCTGTACTACGATGCTAGTTGAGCCATGTTCCAACCAACGATTATGACATACTAGCTGATGTGAGAGTTTCTATCTCACTGTTGCCTAGGACAAATGATGCAATGGCGTTGAATGAATCTATGAAGGCTCTTGTATAAGTAGAAGTGCTTTCGTCTGTCAGTTTCTCATCATCCACATCCAACTCATCCTCCAGCTTTACGATCCTCAATACTCTTCTCATCAAACCAACGCATACATCTGCAACCGTACCCGCCAACATGAAGTTCAACATTGTTTCTGTAATCGCCTTCCTTGGTATCGCTACAGGTGTTCAAGCTGCTTGCCGCGACGGTGACGACTTCTGCGGTGTACGTTGTTCTTGCTAGACTGCCTCGTTTCAAACTTGTCAGAGGATATCCAGCTTACACTTCCCGCTTTGATAGGATTGCAACGGCACCTCTTGCAAGGTCGCTGGGCTCAACTACGACTGCAAGGCTGGCACATCGGTGAGCACAATCCACGATTTTATACGCTTGTAAAGTGAAAAGTCTACTGACATCTGATGCAGTGTGTTGGTAACGGCGGCGGTGATGGCGCTTACTGCGGCACCACCACTGGGTACCTTCAAGGCCCCTACAACTGCCCTGTCAAGACTTGAGTGTACTCAGACAGAGCGATGATGTATACATGGGTTTTCTTTTCTGTAGATGCGAGAACACAATCATTTGCATCCGAAGATCTTCGCGAGGAGGTTATGCTAGCTAGCTGATGTCACTCCTTCGAATACAATGCATTGTTCCGACCTTGATTTCGCATGCTTTATCAGATGTCGTTCCTCTCACCACCTTGTAAAACAATTTATTTCCAACATGCTGTCCATCGACCCTCGCATCATCTGGCAATGACCTAACTTCATCGCCTAACCGACTGCCCTAAACTCCAAATTACGAGTATCACTCTCCCACATACTGTCCAAGATATTTTCAAGGCCTTTTGGGTAGACGCACTCCAGTATAGTGTTCTCTAGCATGTTCCAGAAGTAACACCTGCCCCCGGCTGCCGTGAAAAGGTATACATCACCGCCGGCGATACGGCTCTTGACCATTTGCGGCTTCAGGTCGGTAAGACCGAGCTCTCTAGCAGCCATAGTGCCATCTCCGTCCTGGCCCCAGATTTCCTCAACGCTCATTTCATCCTCGTCCACCGTCCAACCATTAGGTGCGATGACGACTTTCAAGGGCTGAGCGGTGGTTAAAGTGCGTCAGTATCCTGAGATAATTAAAGGCTTACCATGGCAGTACTTCAGCAGTTAAGGGCCTGATATAGTGTTGAGAGTAGCTTCTGGTTGTGTTATCGGGTGTATATGCGAGTTTATGGGGTGAATAGGTGTGTCGTGAGATGCACTCATAGCTGAGGCGGGGTAGTGCCACAGCTGGTTAGTTCTCACATCATGTGCCTCGGCTCCCCTCATGCCGATAAATATGATGTCACCCGCAAAGTAGGTATGTACCTGGATGTTACTCGTAAATCACAATCGATCCTTTGTCCGTGTGTTTACCTTTCTCGTCCTAAGAATTGTGCTATAATATTGGGAGTCGCATTGTGACACCGCTTGGTACCATTTTCCTAAGGACGAAGAAGCTGACTTTTTAAATAGCTTCCTTTTGACAGTCAAGATGGAGGTTTGTTCTTACCTATAATTTAAGGAATTATCGCTTAAAGTGTCTCTACTAATGCAGAAGTTTATTTCGTACCAGTTTGTATAGTGGTTTCTGTATACTGGTTGTCTGGTATTTCCCACTGACGGAAGGCTGAAGCCAAAAGGCCTCGCTTAAGGCGATAAGGCAGTACGTCTCGTGGCCGATGAAGGAACTTGATAATAGAGTAGACTTAGTAGATGTAGTCTCCGTTTACAGCCTACTCTCTTAAAGAGAGAGCCTTTTCCCGTTTTTAGTCTCTCTATTCTACCGCTAACTCTTTTCCCGGTTGACATAATTTATTCTACTATACTTAAATTATTATCTTCTTCTTTTACTTTTCCGTTTTAGTAATCTCCTATCGGCTCTCCTCGCGTCTAGAGCCCCCCTCTACTACGGAAGTATTCTAAGATAAAGTATATCTTATAAAAGGAATACGGTAGTAGTAGTACCGGATTACCCTATTATCGTATAGTCTATTTCTAGTCGTAGTAGTCAGTAGTTATATCTTATAGTAGTAATAATAGATATAACTATTAAATAAAATCTAATAACGTTACTATTAGTCTAAGTATAAAGTTATTAATATAGATTACTTACTAATTAGCTAGATAGAAGAAGCCGCCTACCGGAGCGAGAATATGTTAATAGTTATCTTTATTTCTTCTCGTAGGGTATATACTATCTTCTATATAGCTCGATGGAATACGAGTAGCCTCTACTAAAGAGTATAAAAGCCTATTAAATACTTTAAGATTTATAAAAAATTCGATACCCTTTTTTGATCTATAATAAAGATGTATTTGATACTAATAACCATCGTAGTATAAACCTAAAGATACTCCGAACTAGCAAATTCGCAGCTAGAGTAAAAGCAAAACATCTCTTTCAGTTAGAGATACAGCCTTTAACTTTCGTATGTAGCATCCATGCAACCACCAAACCGACAGCAGCACATCAAGACGACGCAAAAAGCAGAAACCCCACTTAACCGCTCCCGACACCTCATTGCAAGGTCCAACAAACTGCACCGCCTTTCCTATGCACTACTCCCCGCAGCTATTATTGTTGATACTAACACCCGAAAGGGATGCATGACGCCATCCCTAGCTTGCAGAACCCTTGACCCTTGGGCCTTGGCCCCCAACCTCCCCGCACCGCCGCAGCGGTACCTACGTATTTATGTACCCACCATTGAGTATTGGCCAACACAGACCAGCGACGCGACGTGCAACCTTATATACCCCGCCATTCTCGCCCCCGCCCCCGCACCCGCACCCGCGTCCACGGCCCCGGAGCCGCCAGCAGCAGATCCACGTTCCACGTTCCACGTTTTTTCCCCACACATGCCCTACGCTGCACTGCACTGCAGCACACCTCACACCTCACACCGCAGCCGCAGCCGCAGCCGCACCACCCTAACGCACGCCATCACATACGTGGTACACGTTCGCATCGGCGTCAGGATTGGGATTAGGGTGCTGGCTTGTATAGTAGGTCCCCCCCGGGGGGGGGGGGGGGGTAGCGGGGGGGGGGCTGGGTACCCGTCTGTCCTGAGGTTGGAGCCGTATATATTGGCGTGTCAAATATAGTTTTTTTGTTTTTTTTATAAAAAAATAAATACAAAAAAAACATATGGGGGGGGGGGGGGGGGGGGGGGGGGGGGGCAGTACGTTTATATACCGGACAGGGTGTTTTCGATATTTTATTTTGCTTTATATTATTTTTCTTAGGCTTAAGAATTTTACATAGGCTCGGTTAGTAGTAGGCTCGGCGTATATTTAAAGGGAGTTAGAGAGAGTGTATATATCTATAAGGTAAAGTAGATTAGATAGAATTTAACATTACTTCTTCTAACTTTACTATAGCCCCCTCTCCACTCCTCACCACCTTATCCCAACCCCAACAATACCTACCAACACAAACACAAACACACAAAACCGTGCACAACGCAGCAAGCAAGCCCAACCTCGATTACACATTCAAACACTCAGTCAGTACCTAGGTATACTATAGTGCATTACATGCACACACATACGCCACACACCCAACCACACCGAAACCAAGCTCAGCAAATGCTGCTCTCTCTCAAGCCTCACCCCAGCACTTCCCTCAGTCACGCACGCGCTCAAACGGATATAATAAACCTCGCCACAGCACAGAGACGGCAGACGCAGACGCAGACGACGACGACATACGCCCTCGCCATCAGTCCGTCCGTCGTCTATCAGACCGTCCATCATCCGTCTCCGGAATCAATTCCAAGCAACAAGCAACAAGCAAAAAGTTCGCCCACCCACCGATCCCTCCCCCGCCCATCCATCCATCCATCCATCCATGCCATACCATAACCCCAATGCAAAAAGCCCCAAACCCAAACCCAGGTCTTTTTTTCGAGAGGAAAAATGTCTCGTGGTAACCACACCGCTCCATGAGCCGAAGCCAAAGCCAAAGCCAGGCCAAAAAAAAAAAAAAAAAAAAAAAAAAAGCAATAACGCCCTGCTCTGCCCTGCACCGTAGTACGCAGCCGATGCCGCCCCGGTAGATACGCCGTTGAAAAAAAGACCAAACAATCAGAAAAGCCGCCCTTCCAAACCAGTCCTTTAAACCAGCTCTTTCGCCAGCTTCATACGCTCGTGCACTCTCGCCACGATCTTTCTTTCTTCCTTCCCTTCTCACCGACTTATCCGTGCCCGCGACCGCCGCCGCTCATTGCGCGCCACCAATATCTCTCTCCCGCCCGCCTCGTGCACCTGTCCGCTGCCCGGCACCGCCCCGCTAATCACCCACTCGGCGTAGCCCGGCGGCCCTGCGTCCAGCTCCGACGGCACGTGGTTGTACCCGTTGCTCGACGTGGCGTGGGGCGGGACGCCGGCCGCGGCCGCCGCCGACGAGCAGAAGCGCGCTGCTGCGCCGCCCCCCGCAGCGCTGGACTCGCCGCCGCCGACGCGGAAGTGCCCGTTTGCGTCGAGGTAGCGCCGCGCGTCCTCGACGCTGACCAGCTCGCCGTTCTCTACCATCACCACCTCCTCCCACCGCGCGTTGCGGCCGCGCGTCACGGGGCTGTCGTCGATTGTCGACGGCGAGCCGGGCCACGAGGCCATCGCAGAGTAGATGCCCTTGTCGTCGAGCTGCGGCGGCGGCGACGCCGGGTCGGGCGTTTCCGGGCGCCGCAGGTCGTCCACCGACGCCGCGGCTAGCTCGTACAGCGTCGTTTGCTGGTGCTGCTGGGACGGCGGCGTCGTCGGGTTCGTCGGCGAGTGCAGTTCCGCCACCTCGGCTTGCGCGGGCGGCACGTGGTAGTGGTGCGAGTCGGGCGGGCTGGACGCCGCGCTGTATTCGGCCTTTGCGGCGGCGGCCGTGTCGATTTCGCGGAGCCGTCGCTGCCGTTTGCGTCGTCGCCGGTAGAGGAAGGCCAGGATCCCGAGGAGTATCGACGATATGATGAAGCCGCCCGCCAGGCTGACTCCGATTATGCCCCCTGTGGTGAGGCCGTACGGTTTCTTGTTGGCCAAAGATGACTGTGCAGAGACAGGGGGGGTCAATGTCGGAACGGACTTATACAATATACAACGAATAGATTGGGAGACATACGCTATCGGGGGCGAAGGGGGGCAGTGTGGCATTGGTCGCGGTTTGATTCAAGAACCACAGCTGCCCTGAGCCTCCGCCGTTGGTCATCTGGCCCTGGTAAGTGGTGGGGAGCACGTCGAGGAAATAGTCGCTGCCGGACCACTCGTTTGACATTTCCAGACCCTGGCGGGTCACGTTGACCTTCCAGTATTGCCCCGAGTGCTCCCCCCACGCCGACAGGTGCGGGATGTACTTGTCGTTGCCAAAGACGTCGAGGCAGTACGACAGGCCCGAAAAGGCGGCGCACACGTTGTACTCGCCCGCATAGTCGGACTGGCGGAACTGGAACTCGAGGACGGTGGGGGTGCCGTTGAACGAGGAGGGCGGGGCGGCGCGCAGCGGGAAGTAGGCCAGGGACGGGTCGATGGCCAGCGGGTAGTGGGTGAGGGCGTTGACGAGGGTGAAGGTGGCTTGGCCCGAGATGTCCAGCGTGCTAGAGATGTTCAATAGCATTCTGCAGAGGTGTTGAGGACCGCGGCATGGCCTGTACGGGACGAAGGAGCCTTGAGCGGAGGGCTTGGGGACATGACAAGAATAGATGTAGTTTCCCCGGAAGGGGAACAGGCCCGGTTTTGGTTTAACAGTCAGTGGCTTGGATCGTCGCCGTCAAGTTAGCGGGCTTTTGGGGCACGAATCATGCGAGATTCGTAGCGCGCACCACCGTCCATGGCTGTGTGGGGGAACGGACGACATGAGGGCGACAATGGGCGAGCGTGGGCGAGCGTGGGCGACGGTTTGGGGCGGCGGCAGGCAAATCGCTGGACTGATCGAGGCCGGTCTTCATGCAGGCGTGCTGTCGGTGCGTGGTAGTAAGAGATGAGGGCGGCTCGAGCTGCGCAGGCGGAAAGTCTCGAGTTGCGCACGTAACCGACACCAAGCCCCTTTGGGCAGATGGCCAGGCATTGCGGAAATTATATATTATTGCCAACATGCTCGCCCTACTTTGAATCCCTGACCTGAACTCACCACCATTATATACAGTCGTACTCCTACTCTACCTCCTACTCCCCTCCATGCCCTCCGTCGGACAAGTCGCCGCCGCAGCGTCATGGTGCCACGAAGTCTGCGACGCGTCATGAACAAAAGAGAGAAAAAACTATAGCGTCGGCGAACCCGATCTACCCGTACCCAGGCAGCACGTGAGTCAGTCGGGCACACTCAGCGTCACCTCGTACAGCCCTCTCTTCTCGACCCGTAAGTTATAACCTCGCCTACCGCCAAGCTCATCGCTCTCGTATTCTCGCCGTTGCGCGGTAGGGAGGAGCCGTCGTCCATGGGCCAAACGGTCACCGGGTAGCCGGACGCGTATATGCACGGCATTCTGCGCTCCATGCGCAAACTTGTTCGTATGCTTGCTTTTCGTTGGCTCTCGAGACACGTTGCTTGGGAATAGGGAGGGATGTCGTAGAGAGGAAGCTAGGTTGGCCTCGCTAAGCCGGGCCGTGTTTTCCGGTACCTAGGTTCGCATTCGCATTCGCGCGCATTGCACGGCAGGTAGGAGTAAGTACGGAGTGCTCTAGAGCACCACAGCAGCCAAACTAGGCCGGACAACACAAGACGCGCGAAAAGGTAAAAGGATTCATCCTCCCGCAGCGGACATTGCATTGCCGCGATCCCAATCACCACCACCATCATCAAAGCATACTTTACACAGCACCGCCACACACACAGCCTCCAAGTTTCACATCCCACCTCTCACCTCCCTATACCACGCCTTGTACCGCATACGCCCGTACCTGCGTACTGCGTATTGCGTACTGCGTAATGCGTACATCCATCCACACAAACCAACCAGCCTAATCGCGCGGTTTCCCGCCGCTGAAACTCCAATTTGCTCCACCACCATCACCACTAGGTACATACCTAGTCCGTAGTCCGTAGCCGTGAAATCCCTACCTTACGTCGGAAATCTCGCACATCTCGCGCCGAGCCAGCTTGGTGAAAGCTACTCTACCTCGAGCACATACACCTAGGTATCACGCACAACCCCCCTCCCCATCACACAACCCACACACAGCCCCTTCCCTCCTCCCAGCAGCCGCAGCAGCCCAACGCGATGCGGCGCACCAGCCCCAACATCCCAAATCCCATGTCTCACCCTGCGACACCCCATCAAACCCCAATCCAAGACACACAATCTATCGTACAATACTATCGGGCGTCCCGGCCGAGTCGACAGCTCAAACATACCTACCGTACCTAGCATTTCTTCGGCGCGGGGCCTGGTGGTCTAGATCCCCTCCCCTCGTCCCCTCGTCCCCTCGTCCCCTCGTCCCCTCGCTATCGCACTCGCAAACAAGAGAAAAGGGAGGGCCTTGCTCTTGGTCTTGCGTGTTGCGTGTTGCGTTTTGCGTGTTGCGTTTTGCGTTTGTAGAGCGAGAGAGCGAGAGAGCGAGCGAGCGAGAGAGAGAGAGAGAGGCAGTGTGGACGTTGCTATTTCAGCAGCACAGCGCGCATCCGTCCATGCGTGCATGCGTGCAGAATATCGCTTCAGACATTACACACACACACACACACACACATATATATATATATATATATAGGAACCGCACAGCCCTCCCGCCCTCGCAAGCAAGCGCGCAAGCGCGCCACAGCGGCGTCGACGGTGGCTGAGACAAGCTTGCTACCTACGCTGCCGAGCTGCTGCGTACATTATTTCGCTGAGGAGGAGCAGGAGCAGCGGGTTCAGTAAGTACCTAGGAGCTGCAAGTACCTAGGAGTAGGTAGAGTAGTGGCGCAGTCGCAGCCACATCGCATCGCATCTGCATCGCATCTGCAGTATCGCATCGCATCGCGCAAGTCCGTCGTCCCCCCACTTCCATTCTTCAGATCTTCTCGCTGGCCACTGCGTTGCGCTGAAGCACCAACAGGCAGCACGTAGCAGGCAATACAATACATTGGCAGCAAGCAGAGCGCAGTGCCTGCCTACCAGCCCAAGAGCCCTCCTGCGACGAGATCGACCGCCTCCTGCCACGCGCTGCCACGCACCCACGTACCCACGCACCACTAATGCAAATAGGTAGGTATCGCGCAATATCACTCCTCCTGATCCCCCGCCACCGCCAGCAGCTCCTTGTACTCCTTCGCGCTCACCGGCACCGGCGGCGCGCTCGACGCCTTCTCTTCCCGCTCCTCCAGCAGCAGCGCCTCGTCCTCCTCCTCTTTCTCCTCCGCCGTCGCGGCGCGTCTGCCCTTGTCCTTGCCGCCCTTCTTCTTGCCCGTCACAGTCGCAGTCGCAGTCGCAGCCACGGCCGCGCGATCCACCCACCCCTCCCCCCTCAGCATGCCCAAGCTCTTCCTCAGCGCGCCCCCGCTCACCGCCTTCGGATCCACCTCGTACACGGCGTTCAGCAGCGCCAAGCTCGCGACAAACAGCCACACGTCGCCGCCGCGCACGCCGCGCCACCACCCGCGCTTGATGCCGACCTTCCAGAAACTGGCCAGCGACAGGCGCAGCGAGTAGAGGAACGTGCCGCGCCCGTCCTTGCGCTCCAGCACCGCCCACAGCCCGCCCAGCGCCCCGCTGACGAAGAACCGTTGCGTCGGCAGCAGGCTGTGCGGCAGGTAGTGCTGGAAGAGGCAGATGCTGCTCCAGCTGGTGCCGATGGCGCCCGTCACGAACAGCGCCATGCGCAGGATGCGCGCTGCGAGCGAGTTGAGCGTCGTAAAGGGCGCGGCGGCGAAGGCTTTGTAACGCGGGAGGGAGAGGACGCCGAAGATGACGGTGAAGAAGCGTGCGACGGGCGGGAATGCGCGGATAAAGTACGTGATGTAGGTGCGGGCGCAGGAAGGGTCGTTAGGGTGGAGCAGCGCGCACGAGAGGCGCGTGATGGCGGGGTGCGCGGGGGATGTGATGGGCGAGATGGGGAGGAGGCGCGCGGGAAGCGTTTGCTTGTTAGGGAACATGATCGGGGAGACGTAGGGGCTGCGGAGGGTTAGCAGAGGTGGGGTTTCCCGGCAGAGGAAGACTTACGGCCAGCGGAGACGGGCAATCTCAGCCAGGCTGTCTACATATGTCGGCGTGTCTGGCCATGGGATTCTCCCGGCGTAGCGGGCGGGCCTAGGATGCACGTATTCGGGTGAGTTTTTCATGATGAACTGGCCGTACGACGCGGGGAAGCAGTCGCGGTCGAAGACAAAAGCGTGCAGCAGTTGGCCCGCGGCTAGAGGATACAACAGCCACGACCCGAACCACCACGGCCGGTCCTTGAACCAGCCTCTGTCCTCCAGCCCATTGTACGCAAACTCCAGCGACTTTGTGAAGATGTAGATGGCAATGGTGACGCGAAGCTGGTCCGCCGGACACAGTCCGAGGAAGAAGCCAGAGAGACTGGCACCAATGGCGGGCGTGAGGTTGGACGTCAATGCTTTGGTGACGCCGGGGTTGCGTGCCCGGAAGGGCTTGGCCTCGTCCGTGTGCAGGGTCTCGCGGAGACGGATAAAGAAACGGTGTAGGACCCTGTGGAAGAACAGGATGAACGACAGCGAGCACGACAAGCGAACGTTGGGCGATTTCCAGACGGGCGTCTTGGACTTTGCTCTGGGAACGGACTTGATCAGCCATGGCTGTAGCAACGACACACGCACGTCGGCCTACTCACACCTGCTGCCGGGCCTTGTGCATCAGACGCGTCGAGACAAGCTCCCACAGCTTCAACCCACCGTATGTCGCGAGCCCGAGGCGTAGAGATGCGCGGACGGCGGCGGCATTGTAATCGTCTTTGGATTTGACGATGGCTTCATAACGGCGCGGCGGCGGAGCTCGTTGACGCGCTGCGGGCGGGGCGTGCGCGATCAGATGGTCGTGCAGGAGCTTGTACTCGCGGGTGCTGAGAGTGTAGCGGAGGGCATTGCGTAGGACAGGGTCGTCCTTGCTGCTCGACGAGGCGGAACTCATGGCGGTGGCAATGGATGAGGCATGGCCGGCTTCGTCGAAGGTGGTTGACTACCTATTGACATGGAACCTCGGTAGAGTAGCCAGCTGCGGGGGCCAAGGGTTGGGGCGAGGCTTGCAGCTTGTGATTGACAACTTGGGCTTTCTCGACGAGGCGACCCGGATCCCCCTCCAATCGAAGCGTCAAGAGATTGGATGCCTCGGGCTGCGGCGAAGAAGACGCGACGCCCGACGGGGCTCACGTGACCGTTTCACCTGCAGCAAGAGATGATGGATCATGGCTGTACGTCGCTAAGAATAGGCAAGAATACTGCGGCGGTGAAAGGGCGCAGCAGGCATCAAGTGGCAATGGCTACTGCTGCCTACGGGTTCCTGCGGTTCCTGCGTGGCTCAGCCTTGCGCCCGGCCATCACAACTCATCGCTTTTGGGGGCCAAGCGTGGGGTCCAATGGGTCCAACGGGCTCAACTGGTGTACAGCCTCGCAAGGAAGGGACGAAGGTGCCACGCTGATAAGAATGCCTGCCTGCCTTGCTTCAATCTCACTCATCATCATCATCCACCACTTCTTCCCTCCATAGCCCTTCGTACCTACTCGCCTTCATCTTCCTTCACATTCGGCCCCCCATCCCTGTCGAAACCTTCTCTTCTCTTAGTGCCATGATGGAGAAACAGCAGTCTGGCGGTACGTTGCTTCCCTTTTTCATTTCACCTTTTCTTTTTCTTCTCTCCGCTTCCCTCAGCCGTCCCTCGGTACTTTTCACGTTTTATCCCTTCGCTCCAAATGGCCCAATCCCTGTCTTCACCCGTGGCGGAGAAGCCGCTGCACCTCGAGGCGCCCTCGCCCTCTTCTCCAAGGCCCTCTTCCCTAGACCAACGCTACTACGCAACGCCCACTTCTGTGTCTGCCGTCACCTCCTCAGACACTGACAAAGTCGCAGTCCAGTACCCCTACGACCCCTCCCAGGTCCATGCGCCGCCCACCTACGACGGCACGGGCTCGCCAAACCACCACGAGCAGCCGCAGTACCCGTACCAGGGACAGGCGCCGCTGGCCATCGAGCCCGACCGGGCCGCGACCCACACGGGCCACCAGCAGTACAAGAACTCGACGCCGCTCGCGGGCCTGCTGCGCACTCCTGCGCCGGTCGACTGCCCGTCCTGCGGAACCAGGGCTCTGACGAGCACGAACTTTGTATCTGGCGGCACCACGCAGTAAGTCGACGAGCTGGATCCTTTGGCGCAACCGTCACTAACGACATGTCTAGCGCTTGGGCCGCCGGTCTCTGCCTCTTCACTCTTCTGTGCTGCATTCCCTACTGCATCAACGGCACCAAGAACGTCGAGCACAGGTGCGGCAAGTGCGGCGTCCTGCTTGCGACCTGGCACCGCAGCGGCAGCACCGAGGTCCACCTCCACACCTAGGTGTGCGACAAGCCACCACTCTTTGGTTGTTTTCAGTTTTTTTTTTTTTTTTTTTTTTTTTTTTTTTTTTTTTTTTTT